TTTTTTAAAATGTATGCATATGTACAGGGGTCCACTACCTGATACAGCCAAGGATAATCAGTCAGATTTCTCTAACTCTGGATTTCATTGGAATTTGAAGACCAAAATTCTCACCAATAAGTGAACGACTGCTAGGATTTTCAAGGCCAGCAGCATCCGTAAAAGGACATTAATCCACTGAGCCCTCCGTGACTTAAATACAGTTCTTTATTGAAAGCAATAGTCATAAATCCAACAAGATCAAGTCACTAACCCCCATTGGATAGTAGCAATGGGTATTTTTTTTTAAAGAAAGACTTGACGCTCAGGATACTTATTAATATCTGCCAATATTGCAGAAAATGAGATAGTGGCTTAATTTGCATATGGGCATTTAAAGCAGTCTTGGTTTTCATTTCTTATTAAAATTCATTAAATAATTATTTTTATCCTTCATCATTTAGCAATTAACCAAATTGCCATTGAAATAAGCTCTTAAATGTGACTTCTAGTGACTCAGTAGTAATTTAATATTACTTTTGCTAATAAAGCCCTGGGTCTATTTTGATTAATTAAAATATCTGATTCCAGATTCAACTCAATTGCATCTTCCCAAATATATACGTTTTGCCTCCTCTCGTGTTTTCTATTTTAAGCTCTACTTGATGGAGCTGTTGGCCTATGCACATGAATATGAGGATGAAAAGTCTGCATGAACGAGACTCATTTCCAAAAGTTTAACAGATGTTGCTCCTGCTCACGATGCTATTTACTCTCGTTCAATCTGTGACGGGTTCAAGATGATTAAGTGTTTCATCAGTAATGATAAATTAAGAATCATTAAGCATTTCAGAGTTACACATAGACACACACATGTGTGCACATGCATACATTGAACAAGACACCAAGCAGATTTAAATAGAGATGTTTCCAATAAATTATAAAATCAAATTATTATAATGAAATATAATATAATTATGTGCTTGTGATCTCTGAAAGAAAATAATTTTGGCCAAACAGGCTGTAGAATATACTTTGAATAAATGCAATTAGTGGAGATTTAATGTTTGAATGCGTACATCATCTGAAGAATGTAGGGAAAGATGTTCACATTATAGATTCATGCAAAATGAAATCATTGTTAATGAATGAATACCTAGCTCATGACAGACATTAGGCTTGGTCAATTGTGTGGGCAATTATCTTATGTATTTCTGTAAGAACATAAGGACTAGGCGATATTCTCTCCACTTGATTGATAAGGAAACTGAGACTCAGAGGAGGGAATTACCTAACCCACTAGTACATAGTGTCTGTACTTTCACATTTAGGCTTGGAGTACATTTTTATACTTGAAAAATATTAAAACTGAAGATATGGAGAATTCATAAGTTTTAACTCTCCTAATGGGACCTCACTTTAAGAGGAGACCCAGAAGATCGCATAAAAGAATATTCATTTCATCCCCCCCACTCCCCACCCAGCACAGTAATTCTTTGCCCCCTGTGGCTTCAAACACTTGAACTATGGTAATCTAAAATGAGATGTGTTTGCGTGTGCAATATACATTGGGTTCAAAAGATAGCATGAAATTAAGAATGACATAGGTGGCTTACATCTGTGACCCACATTATATTCCTATTGAACATCCATGCTGTCCCTACCCTTTTCTGCACCAAGTTTCATGGAGATCACATGAAACTGTTTTCTTAAAATATCAGCACAGGATACCCCGAGACATCCACCAAAAATAAACTAAAAATTTTAAAGTGAGAATTAAAAGGAACTCAGAATGAAGTCATAGTTTTTCAGGATAATTTCACAGTTCAAATCACAATACAGCTTGCTATGACTGAATGGTATGATATCTGTATTAGTTCCCAATAAACTGGTTTTGTAAAAAAAATAAAATTATGAATAAGAAAAAAGTATTCTGTTGTTTTCCAGTTGATTCCAACTCAGAGCAACCCCATATGACAAAGCAAGCCTGCCCTCCTGTGAGAGCTCTCATGGTGTCATGGGTTGCATACTGGGCTGAAAACTGCAAGGCCAGCAGTTCAAAGTCACCAGCTGCTCTGCAGGAGACAGATGAGGCTGCGTACGCCCATGAAATATACTGTCCCACAGAGGCAGTTCTAGTCTGTCTGTGGTGTCCCTATGAACTGGAATCAACTTGATTGGCACTGAGCTGATGTTGCTTCTGTAGAGGATCACTGGGTGTTTTCTCTCTTGGAAACACTAGGTCAAGAGTTCGAAACCAGCAGCCTCTCTCTGGAGAATGATAAGGATTTCTACTCCCACAAATACTAACAGTCTTGGAAACCTACAGAGGCCATTCTCCTCTACCCTATAGGGCCACTATGTGTTGTATCATCCACAGTTCCTTGAACCAAATATAGTATTTTATTTTTACCAAGAGTCTTGGATATGATTTTAATTTCTGGAGACTCAGTGAGAGGTTCTTCAAATAATTTATAGAAAAAAGAATCCATATGTACTTATTTTCTATTTGCTGCAATTGAACATAAGCACCACAATTGAGAGCTATGAAACTATTTTCAGAACATTATTAATAAAAAACAAAGTTGGTAACTTGTTCCTGTTGGAATCATTCTGTTGTAATCATTCCTACGAAGTTGTAATATATGAGGTATTGTATGAGTTGATACTCAATCTTCTTTCTGATTCTTTGCATATTAATTGATTACTGCATTTTTCGTTTTGTTTTCTAAGAGCATTTATATGTTTAATGTGTGTTCATTTTGTGTGTGTGTGGGGGTGAAACAAAAAAGTAACATATAGGTCTTCCCCAGTTAAGATCCGTACTCCCTTTGAAATAGTATCTCAGGTGGGTGGTTCAGCTTCAGGTGGTACTTGCAGCTAAGAGAGCTATGAAACTATTGAAAACTATACTGATAAAATGGTAAATGATAAAAAAATTACTATCAGGAAGGTTAGGCTGTACAGGGTGTAGTATAGCTGCCACCCAAAGATGCTGTCCAGGAGGGAAGTCACAGTCCTTCTCAAGGAAGCTGATTAGTCTTGAAAGCATTTGCATTAAATCTAAATGAGTATATTCACCCCTCAACACATTTATTAAATGTCAGTTTTTCTCTGTAAAATTGTATGAAATGCTAGAAAGATGCCATCAAAAATCTGTTTAATTAAGTATAAACTTAAAAACAGTTTTCTAGAAATTTCCTCCTAACCCAATTTAAACTTTCTTAGAAATGAACGGAAAATGACAATGCTCTCCATTTCACCCACTATATGAACAGCTACAGCATACAATTCATTCCTAATAAAGTATTCCTGTTCTCTTTAATTAAGAGAAATATAATTTAAATACAAAGTAAATTACAATGCTCTTTTCACTAATAAACTCGATGTGTTTTATTGAGCCATATATTAATACCTGAATTTTTGGACTGGGAAAATTTGTTCATTTGTCATTTCAGTAGCTCATTCTATATTTTCATTTCATGCCTCGAATATATTGTGGGGACTAAAAATGGGGCTTTCCATTCTTACTACTTACACAATTGCCACTATTGAACATCTGCCAACACAATATTTCAATACAATTCATTCGACACATGACCAAAAGGTGTTTGAGGTTAAAAGGGCATAAGACCATTGTCCATCCTCTGAGTTAACGCAAAATACAAGCTCAAGCATTCAACTTGGAATGAGCCTGAAGCAGAAAGCAATAAAGTAAATTGTACAAGGGTAATAGTGTCTAGTTAAAATTGAATAACTCCGTTCTTTGATTTCTAATGCTTACTGATGGTGACTAGATCTGTGCTAAGGATTTATTTTTGAATCGTAATTCAAACAATGGTATGTTTTCTTCTATTCGTGATCCAGATGATTAAACAGTGAACTCAGACACCGGTAAACATATGGAAACCTGGATGAAATTTGGAAGACATTTTGGTGAGAGTAAAGGCTTGAATGATACTTTATTGGATTGAACATATACTGTTTTCCTACACAAAAGCAGTGAATCGCTATATGTTTGTGTCATTTTATTTGCTTCATTTCTTCCTTCCTACCTCCAACTTTTTGAGACTGGAGAAACCAACATAACAACATACCTGTTGGAAGAGGTACTGTTGGCTCCTCTTTAATGGACCGGAGTCGCAGACAGCTTCTGGTGAACACAATGTCATCAAGGGCAATATCACCTCGGTGACCTTTCCCAACTCTGCCTTCAAATTTGAGTTGGAAGTCTTCATCGCCAAACAGTGAGAGTTCCTTCCTCTGCCAGAAATTCCCTTGTTCTCCTGTGAGGTTAAGTAGAACCTTCCTTTGGTTTGTGACTGACACCTGGATCAGGACAAGTGCCCCAATGCCATTGCCGTACATGTGATAGTGAAAGATGATCTGTAAGTAAGCAGGGGAATGTTACACATAATTAGTCCAATTCTTTTGTTTTTCATTTATGTCATACTTCCATCTGCTCATTAAGATGTTCCAGAAGGAAAATGATGCCTATATATTCTATTGCTCTGTGAACACTCCAACACTGAGTCAAATTAGGCCATTTTTGGATTATGTTGTATATGGTACAGTAAAAATCTAGCAACATGTCAGTAGAAAACAAAAGTAAAACATTGATCAGGGCTTACTTTCATGCTGTGACTTCTAAAAGTAGGGTTCATTTATTGACTATCTCATTATTAAATATTTCACATTTATGGCAATAGTAAAATAAACTAACGAAATGTCTTCCACATTGAAATGTAGTCAATTATTTATTATGCCTCTTCTAGCCATAGCCTTTATTAGTCCCATCAAATACTCTTCATTCTCCTGGTAGGTCTGGGTAAGAAAGTAGAGGAAGATACTGATTGGACTGTCTGATTCATCTGCAAGTGATTGCTAACTGTGATTGCCACCCTGCGGGGAATAAAATCAAGAACTGCAGAAGCAGAAGGGAGGATTTTACTGTTGACACAAGTGAAGAACCAGGAGTGGAACTTATCTTTCAGAGGTTGAGATCCCTACAAACTGAATCCCCTGGATCCAGAAGTCAGTTGTGACTCGAGAGGAGTGGCAGACGTGCAGGAGCAAGAGCAAAACCGTGACCCAGAGCATGACACCAAATGGTTGACTTCTGAGCCTCTAGAGAAAATAAAGTCACGTGTTTCTGGCATGGAGGCTGGCTTGTAGAGTATTTTGTCTCTTAGCACTTAATTGAGAGAGATAGGCTTGCTGACCCATGGAACTAGAGCTGGTGCTTTTGAGCTGAGGTTTGTAGTGAAGTAGCATGCCTTTTGGGAATTTATTGGCAGTCCAAAAAGAACTTTGCAACACTACCCTGGCAGGACCGAGTCAGGGTATGAGTCTGAGGGCAAGGAAGTGGCCTGCCTGAGGACATGGCAGAGAAGAAACTATCCTGTGTGAATAACTCTAGCCTGAGCTTTAATCACATTAATTGCAACCTGTTAACTTCCCTAATTAATCCATAATTGTGAGTATTGTCTGTAAGTTCTCTGTGACCATTGCAATGATTTATCGAACCCAGCAGAGAAGTAGTGTGTGGGGACAGTGAGGTGACCTAGGTGGGAATGGTTGGTGTCAGGGGGGGTAGGAAGGTTGGAGAATGGGGCATGTCTGACCTTTGTGTTGCAGCAATCATCTTTGAGACCAGAAAGGGACACATATGGCATATTTAACACACATTACTAATAACAAATGCCAGTGTGTGAGGTTAGAGTATGTGAACCTAGCTGAACCATGATTCTCAGGGATGAACAGTTATGTATGATGTCATTTGATGGTCCTGTAATCACGTGGTTCTCCATTTTGTGATCTGATTTGATCATCCTCCATATTCACATAATGGTGGCTTTTCCTCTAAACCACCTGGTCATTGGAACGTCATCATGACAGAGTGGCATGGATAAGGGGACTATGGTATGTAATCAAATAATGATGAATTACATAAAAATGTTTACAGATTAACACATAATGGACCAAAGAACATCTTTTTAACTCTCACAAAACAAATCACTTTATTTCAACTAGTAGGACATTTTCTTGCATATCCCACCATATCCTTGTACTTGAAACGCTTGGTGTATAAGATTCTCAGGGCTACTTTATACAGAAAAAGCACTAGAACAGCAATTTTCCAACTTTTATTTAAAACATTAAAAGCAGGTTTTAGAAGAGCAGCCATGGGACCTTTTTTGTGGAGTTAAAATTAATAAAAAGTATTTTTAGGAATTATCTCTTCAATGCTTTAAAGATGGTATTTACTGAGTTTTAATGCTTATTTCACAGAATGGGGAAAATCAGAGAGAAAGATGAGTCAAGTTTAGGAATAATGGGAATTTTGAGCCTTTGATAAAGCTTCAGTCTTGTCTATATATAAATGAGGGGAAAGAGTAATGTTGGTTCATCTTCATACAGGAAAATGACATTTCAAAATACTAGCAGTCATGTGTTTTGCACTCCAGAAAATAAAAAGGAGAATTCTTGTAAACAACACATGCAAAGCATGACTTTAAAAACATCAACTAAGATGAGCCGTGTAAAGTAATTCTATCCAAATTGCCTAGCTGGATGAAATTATTCAACGATTGTTCCAAGATCCACCAATGTTCCTTCTAGTGATAAACCTTTACAAAACGAGCTCTCTGACCATTGTGAATCATCCTAGGGTCTGTGGAAACCTGTATAATACTATTTATTAACATGAGAAACAAAGTGGTCTAGGACCAGCCTCTTGGGCAGCACCAACAGGCACCAGACAGAATGACAGCCAACCACAGGGCACCGTTCTGCCTGGATTCCTTGAAGTTCTGGGGGGTGGTCAAATGTTTTCCACTCTAAGTTTAGCTTTTATTAGTGCTTCAAATATGAAGCATATATGTTGTCGTGTGTTATACTAGACATATCTCTATTTTCTAGAGGCCATTTTCCGAATGAGACCCTAAATTTAACATGAACAACCTCTTTTCCATAGAGATTACTTGATGATATAACCAAATGCTAAGGCAACATGAGTTCAGCTAAGTGCTGAATTCTTCAAAGAAACGTTTTCACTGGAAAAGTCAGGGCTTCTTGCATGTGAACTTGCCCTTCATCTGTCTCTATCTGGACCCCTCCCACACACCTATATGCTCCTTAAAAAAATGACCGAATTTTATTTTCTCTCCTGAAAGGTATTCAACAAGGTCAAGGGAAATAAATGATTTTCATGAAATTTGGGAGGTCATTCTGGTTACCTGATGGAAATATTTTTATATGAGAAACTTAATCATTCTCAGCATGACCTTACCTTGCTTCTATGTATTCAATCTATATCATAAATATTCATTAAATAAAGCATCCATCATTAATTTTTTGACATTTCTTCTAGGCATATTTCATTATTCTCACCCAGATGTTCAAAAGAATAAGAACCAGGGAAAATCGAGATGGATCAAGTCTTCAGTTACTATAGTTGAAAAAACCCCCAAACTTCAACATTTTGAAAGAAAGTGACTAAATATAAAGGCTCAGAAGTCAAATGGGAATTTATATACTTCATGTTTAATATTTAATTTTCTTTCTTTGATTAGAATTAATTTTCAATTCTCATGGTTTCCTTAGATATATGGAGATAGTCACCTTTGCAGGGTGGAAAAGAAAAGTACATCATTTCAGCATAAGTGAGACTATCGGCAAAGCATTGTTTAGTGACTAAGATTCCCAACTGACTAGATGGAAGTGGGCTTGTGTTGGTGGTTTATGTACTCACCCAGGATATATTGTTAACCACCTAGGATATGCTAGGCATGATTGTTTGTATTGGAGATGTAGTAGGAAACAAAGCAAACAAACATTCATAGGGCTGGCATCCTTGTGGGGGAAAAACAATGAAAAGGAGATCACTGAAATATGAAATAAGTCCAACGCTGTGGGATGGATGGGATGGTGTGCTCCTTCACAAGGGACACTGAAATTCCATTCCTGCACCTGGGAACGGGACCTTTCTGGGAGAAACTGGTCTTCTTTTAAAATTTTTAAGCTGTCAATTAAGCCATAGCAGAGAGATGGTATATTTTAAATGGAGAGCAGACATGGAAACAGGGTAGCACCTGGGGAAGAGAGCGTGTGAAGGTCTGTCTACAAGGTTGCATCTCTTGTCCTTTGTCAAAAGAGACAAGGATAGAACTTTTCCAAAAGAGAAAGAACATTGTGCTGAATTTGGACTACTACAGGCTATGAAAATAGACATGTGTCTTTCAAAACCACTTGCTCTGTGGTGCTTTGTTATGGTGGCATTACATGAAGACGTAAGAAGCTGGGAATGGAGTACAGAGTCCTTTGGGCTTGGTTGCAAATAGGGGACCTGTGGGAGGAGACACAGTGAGCGCTAAGGATGGATAGCTACAGAGAGAAATGAGGCAAGTGCATTTGCTGAAAGACCAAGGACAATCTGAACAGCTGGTCTTGCAAACCTGATTGAAATATGTTTTCAATGTATGCTTGTTGGCTGAGATCTAAGTGTAAGAAGATATTTTAAATTTCTGTTGCTCCTGTTTAGTGCTTAAGTATTAACTATGTTATTGATTCTACTAATCAAAAAGTACAAGAAGTTGTAAGGTTCCAACAACCAGACTCTGTTCATGTATGATAAAGGAAATAAAGACAGCAACCCAATCATGGTTCATGTTTCCTGTCCAAGTACAGTGGCTTCGATCTATATTCTTTTAGCACATCATTTTTAAGGACCCACTTTACTATTTCTATAAAAGGAGCTCTAATGACTGTGAGATAAGTGCTGGGATATAGTAACCCAAAGTCTGGTTCCGAACCACTAGCCACATCTTGGGAGAATGGTGAAGCTGCCTCCCATATTTACATATCAGAAACCTTATTCAGGGTCACTAATGAGTTTTAATGGATTCTATGGCAGTAGGTTTTGTTTTCATCTACTTTGTTTTTTTACTATTTCCTAATATGTTTGTTTTAAAGCAGTCAACTATAGCCCTGTGAGGGTAGGGCTTCATCGGCCTTATTCTCTCTCTCTTCTTGCCATATAGCAGTAATCCAGGAATATATTAAATGGTCTTAATCATCTGTTAGTTTAACTCCAGGTTCCTAGACATTTATGAGCCAGCACTTTTGGGTAACCATTCACCAATTCAGCTTTTCCAGATCACATTTTTTCTGCCATTTCTGACATCTTGAAAGACTTTTCCAAATTCTTCATTGCAAAGTACCCAATGGCTCTTCATAGAGGCTGTTTCTATAAGAGTTCTCCAATCTGCTTGGCCAGCAGATGAGAAAAAGAGATGTGGGCTTTTTTCTTTGTCTATCTGTTAGGTTGATGACCCAGTTATCACTCTAAAACCCTGCTCTGAACATGTCACTCCCTTGCAGAAAATATCCACCATCAATCACATTTTCAGAAGAGATGAGGAAGATGAGATTACTCTGTGAGAGCTCAGCTATGAGAAATAAAAAGTCTTAAATATATAGCAAGACTGACAGTGATGTGATGCTAAAGATTGGTCAGTATAAACACAAAACAACACTCTATTGAAGGCAAGTACAATCGGGGAGCCTTTGACCAAAGATTCAAAATGTCTTCTTCTCAGGGGTAAATGCTAATGTGGAGATATGGACCCCAGAATATTCTCATTTGGAACTGACGAAGGTTTCAGTCTTGTTGCCATGCCCCTGCTTGATTGTATGGTCATCTAGCAACTTTCTTCCTGCAATTAGGTTGCCTTCAGTGTTCACAGGTTGGAGAACATGCCAGTAGGCTCTAGGTAAGCAGTGGACTGCTAACTACAAGGGAGGTGGTTCAGCTTGCTGCTGCCCATCGAGAGAAAGGCCAGGCTGTCTGCTTCTGTCAATATTTACAGCGATTTTTCATACGGTCACTATGGTTGGAATTGACTCAATAACAATGGATTTAAAAAAATAAAGAAACTTTAACTGTTGACCTTTTTCAGATTAAGTATCAATAAATGACAAATTTATTTATCTATCAATCTACACAAAGTTCTTATACATTATACTAAGAGTACTTGATTTATATTTAACATCAAGCTAAATTTAGTTCCTAGCCTAGCCAAGAAATACTTTAGAACATAAAAACACCAAGCAAACAAATAAAAGTGGAGAACTTTGTATGTTTGGCAATCATATAAATCTACTTGGCACAAAGATCCTTAAAACACAATTTATCCTTCTAACACTCTATGGATGCTTTTATAAAACAGTTCCCATCAGTTAATAACAAAAATTTTGTTCCCTTGCCTATAGAAATTCTTCTATATTCCTAGGGTCAAGTTCAGTCTTGCTTTTTTCTTGAAGACTTCTTTAAGCATTTTATTGTAGCCCTAACTATCTCTATAGCGATCCTTTCTAGAGATATTTAACTATACACTACTAACATATGATCTTTTTTTTATTTCCTGCTGATAAAATTCTCATAAGTCCAGTAAGTCACCAACTACTTGAGAGGGCAGCAATGCGTATGTGTTACTCGGAGTTTCCAACAACAGTATAGACTCTTCCACAGGTCTAACAGGTTTTTCTCTTGAACCCTGACTCCTCCTTTCTCATACATCTTATGTCAAACTATTCTAGCTCAGACCAGAGGATGTACTCTGGTACAGATGGGAACTGGAAACACAGGGGATCCAAGACAGATGAACCCTTCAGGACCAGTGGTGAGAGTGGTGATACCAGGAGGGTGAAGGAAGGGTGGGGTAGAAAGGGGGAACTTATTACAAGGATCCACATATAACCCCCTCCCTGGGGGACAGACAACAGAAATGTGGGTGAAGGAAGACGTCAGACAATATAAGACATGACAAAATAGTAATAATTTATAAATTATCAAGAGTTCATGAAGGAGGAGGGAGTGGGGAGAGTGGAAAAATGAGGAACTGATACCAAGGGCTCAAGTAGAAAGCAAATGTTTTGAGAATGATGATGGCAACAAATGTACTTGACACATGGACAGATGTATAGATTTTGATAAGAGTCGTATGAGCCCCCAATAAAATGATTTTTTTTAAACAAACAAAAACAATTGTAGCTCATCTTTGGTCTGTTTAGGGCCTTCTATTTTCTGTATTTCACTGTATCTGTCAGAAATCACTCAGAATATTTCCCCGTGTCCCATACCTTGCAGTTTTTGCTTCTCTTGCTTATGATAGGGCTTGAAATTCTGGCTTCTCTCATGGGCTGCTGAGGGAACAAGCTCTTTATAAAGATGTAATGACCAGAGGAATTTAGTAAGGTGTGATCCGCAGCTGGTTCTGTGCCTGCAGTGGGGATGCTACTGGCTTTCAAATTCCAGTCCAAGTCATCATTCTGTTCTTGCTCCCAGGAACAAAGATCGAATTCAAAATCACAGCGCTCACTAGAGGTACCTGAAAAACATGTACCAATTTATGGTAGACAATTAGCTCATTGGAAGGCACGCACTGCAGTCAATGAGGCAGTTATATCATGTAATAAGTAAATCCTTACAAAACTCTCCTGGTAATGACATTCAAATAGAATAATTTTAAATTAAATTATTTTATGATTATTTATGTCCAATTGTTTATATAGGCAATACCAGTTTCCAAAATCAATGAGAAAATGTTTTAGTAGTATACACAATTCCGTGTACAAACTTTTTTTGTTGTTAATGTAATTTCTTTTTTCGTCTCTTTTTCATAGGTCTTAATAGGAAATATAGAAAGTTTATTGCTCTGCAATGAAATTTGGCTTAGGAAATGCTACCTAAAGAAATCAATTCATTTTAGGGACAAGAACATTAGGGAACAGAAAAATTCAAAAATTTAGTAATTTGAGATCATTCACTTTAATACATCTCAGAAATTAATTTATTAAGTTATATTAAATACCAAAACATCTTCCAGGTGTAGTTTTCAAGATTTTATTACCAGCATTGTCAAAATTGTTAACCCCTTATTTCCAGGATAGGAAGACTTACACAAACTATGGTACGCAGGCTCTCCCTGAATGAGGAGGACACTCCCATCTGATGGCATACATCGAACCTGTCTGCTTTTTTTGTTTTGTTAATATGACACTGCATCACAGTATCTAAGTAGGTTATAGAATCTTGATGTGTTTGGGGGGCTTCTCTCAAGGTCATCGAGGTGAGGCTGACTCAGTGACTATAGGACAGGGCAGGATTGCCCAGGTGAGTTTCAAAACTGAATCTCCTGCTAGGAGTAGAAAGCTCTGCTTGTCTCCTGTAGTGTGGCTGGCGGTTTCCAACTGCTGCTGACGTGGAGAATCACAGCTCAACATGGACCCACTATGCAAACAGGACTTCGTGTGTGTGTGTGTGTGTGTGTGTGTGTGTGTGTGTGTGTGTGTGTGTGTGTGTGTGTGTGTGTGTGTGTGTGTGTGTGTGTGTGTGTGTGTGTAGGTGTGTGTGGTTTGGAAACACGACATGCAAACTTATGCAGTACCTATTATTAACCATATGATGAATAGAATAGTCTTAAGAACGGTTCATCCTAATTACGACATGTTATAAGTCATAGTAATTATAAAATTAACGATGCCATGAAGGATGTTATGAAACGAACTATGATCATTACATGGCCATACAAAAATTACACATGAAGGATCGTTTTAGATCTTTTATTTTTAAGTAAGTATGGTACAGTATAAATCCACAACAATGTACTATTTATAATTCCCTGATGCAATAAATCTTTATAACTGAAGGATGAAAATTTGTAAAATCATAATTATGTATGAAAACATCTAAAAAGCCCTTGAAAAGAAACTCTCACTACCACCAAGTCAGTGCTGACTCATAGTAACCCCCTCTGGATTTCTGAGACTGTAACTGTTTATAGGAGTAGAAAGCCCAGTCTTTCTCCCACAGAGCTGCTGGCGGTTTTGAACTGCTGACCCTGTGGATCACAGCCAGACAATAGAACGACTAGTGGTGAATAGGGCTCTGTTGAAAGGAATCTAAGTTGTAGTAATCTAAAATGTATTCAGATAAGTATTTCTGTTTTAAAAGTTTAACTGAACAATTATTCTGATACTTAAAGCAATTTTATCTAAATGAAATTAGGAATTGTTCCTATCAGTGAATTTTTCTGGCTCTCTGCAATCAAAACACAAAGGAATCGGCTCTATCCAGCACACAGGTCACGGGAAGCAGCAATAAGTCCCAGATGAAGTCATGGTAATTCTTGAAATAAAAATCGCCTTGTTTGCATTACATGCAACACCAACAATTTATAAAACGTGCTTGGCATCAAACAGTTTTATCTTGTTTTATTTATAGCTCCTTTCTGACAATTTAAGTCAGAAAAAATTGCTTAAATATAATTTTTTTAAACATTTAATTCTCCGAAGTCAATAAGATGGGCACAAAACATGTATCTAAACATTTCTCTACCACTTGGGGGGGTAGACTACCCCCCACTTGTATGTCACTTGTTTGATTGTGGCAGCTTGTGGGTTGCTGTGATGTTGGAAGGTTTGCCACTAATACTGCAAATTCCAAAAGGGTCACCCAGGTTAGACAGGTGTCAGCAGCACTTCCACACTTCTGACCTTCCCCAGTGTACCCAGTGAAAATGGTATGGGTCACAAGAGGACATTTTCGGATGGCGTTCTGCAATTAAGAAATGCTGCTCTATAGAAAGTCATCATGAACCAAACCCTGCTCCATAGAAATGAACAGGAACAGTGCGTTCAAAAATGAAAGCTTGTTAGATCATAAACCTCATCAAGAAAGGCTTAACGTCATCATCTTCAGCTTTTAGAAGAACTATTAAAATAAATGTGATGTAGAAAGCTGATGATGCTCGGCTAACAAATGATATAGCATCTGGGGTCCTAAAGGCTTGAAGATAAACAAGCGGCCATCTAGCTGAGAAGCAACAAAGTCCACATGCAAGAAGCACACCAGCCTGTGTGATAACACGGTATCAGTCATCAAAGACCCAGAGCAAAAAATCATATCAATGTGAATGAGGGAAAGTGCACAGTGGAGACCCAAAGCCCATCTGTAGACAATTGGACATCCTCTTACAGAAGGGTTTCAAGAAAGAGATGAGCTATTCAGGGTGCAGTATAGTACCAATGAAACATACAACTTTCCTCTAGTTCTTAAATGCTTCCTCCCTTTCCCCACTATCATGACTCCAATTCTACCTTACAAATCCAGCTAGACCAGAGCATGTACACTGGTACAGATAAGATCTGGACACACAGAGAATCCAGGACAGATAAATCCCTCAGGACTAATAATGAGACTAATGATACCAGGAGGGGAAGGGGAAGGTGGGACTGATCACATTGATCTATACATAACCCCCTCCCAGGGGGATGGACAACAAAAATTGGGTGGAGACATTGGTCAGTGTAAGACATGAAAAAAATAATAATAATTTATAAATTATCAAGGCTTCGTGAGGGAGGGAGGGAAAAATGAGGAGCTGATACCACGGGCTCCAGTTGAAAGATGATGATGGCAACAAATGTACAAATGGGCTTGACACAATGGATGGATGGATGGATTGTGATAAGAGTACTACAAGCCTCCAATAAAATGGTTTCAAAATAGAAGAATAGAAATGCAAAATAACTAAATCCTGGGGAAAAAAACCTTTTTTCCCCCTTATATGAATCTGCTGAGATCCATTTTCACTTGTTCTTGTGTAGGGAGCTTATGTGTTGTAAGGAATCCGTTCATTTTCTCTAGATTCTTTGAGATGTTGGCATATAACAGTCCATATTAATCCTTTTATCCTTTTGCTCTGTATTATAATTGTAATGCCTCTACTTTTGAATGTAATATAGTCAAATAGACTTACTTTCATGTCTGGCTCTCTTCATTCCTTCCTGCATACTCAAACTGGTGTTGTTCCTTCACTCTGAGAAGTGCCCTGAAAGTTGTTGGTTTTTAAAAAGTGCGTGCTTATAGGTGATTAATTCTCTCATATTTTAATTCTCTGAAAATGTTTTTGTTTAGCCTTAGCCATTTGAAAGGCTATTTCTCTGCATCTGAATTCTGTTTTCACCAAGATTTTAAAGCTTTTTATATATATTTTTCTTGTATAATTTATGATGAAAAGTAAGTCATTATTTTCCACTTTTTTTTCCCTAATAACATTCAAGATGTTCTCAGTATCTTTGGATTTCATTAGTTGTGTTTAGAGGTGTGCAGATATGGATTGAAATACCTTATCTACCAGTTCTAACTCTTTGGAAATCTTGGGTTCAATTTCTACTGATGTCTTTCACTTCCAAACTGATGCCATATTTTCCCGTTTACTGGCATGTACTTTCTTTTTTACTGTATGCTGCGAACTTTAGATGACACTGTGTTATTAGTCTGGGTAGACTAGAGAAACAAATCCATGGACACACATATGTGTATAAGAAATATTTATATACAAGAGCAATTGAACATTGAGAAAACATCCCAGCCC